TGGCCCTAGGAGGGGACTGCTGGTGGAGGACAGAGGTGTCCTCGCTACCAGGCTCCACCAGACTTAGGAGAAAGCAAATGGCAGAGCACCTGGGATGGAGACCATGCAGCGGCTGGACCAGCCTTCACCCTTCCTGACCACCCCGCATCCTGCCCCAGGCCCCTTACCCAGCTCCGATGGGATCACCAGCTTCCGCTTCTCTCCCTCACACATCCTGCACAGCAGGGACATGTGCTGAGCACAAGGTGGCCCCAGACTCCCCACCACCCAGTCCCCGCCTCCCCCAGCTCACTTCCCAGACCACAACCATGGCCCCCAACTCACCCCAGCAGCCCCTGGTCCCAACCCTTGATGACCTGGCCAGTGCCAAGGGAGAAAACAAAAGGCTGGTTTTGGGGCAGGCTGCTGTCAAACTCGGTCCCATCTTCCAGTTTCCCCTGTAGGAGGGGCAGGGGGGCAAGAGTCAGCCAGAGATCCCTGAGCTACTCTGCCCAACAAGTTGTCCCCTGGCCCTTGGGTGGGCAGGACTATGGGTCCCTTACAGGTTTAGGTGCCCACTCGGTGAGTACAGATAACTAAGGAAATTGACAAAGAACAGTTGGTGTGGGCTTGCTGGGGTCTGTCCGCCCTCCCCAGAAACCCCCTCCCCTGACCCACCGTGTAGTGCATGTGCAGGACATCCCCCTTTCGGGACTTGATGGGACAGTGGTCCGCCCTCTTCTTGACCCCAATCTGCAGCTTGCGCTTCCCCTCCGGCCCTGTAGCTGTGGCCAGAGCACTCAGGCAGATGGGCAGCACTGCCAGCATCCAGTTCAGCCTCATGTCTCTGCAGGCAAAGACCCCCACCGACACACAGACCGACCAAGAGGGGGTGGGGAGGGCGTGGGAAAAGAGCAGGTACAGAAAGGATCCCACCCCTCCCCACAGTACAAGCCCCATCATTCCCTCCCAAGGCTCAGCGACTGCACTTACCAGTCTAGGGAGAAGGGAGCTTGGCCGAGGACCCCAGCAGCGGGGGGAGGGGGTCAGGGGAGGCCACAGCAGCCAGGGACCCGCCCTTTTGCTCACCCCCAGCCTTTCCCTCCCTCCCTTGCCCCAGCCCCACTTCTCTTCAGTTCCCACCAGACCCTTTGCGCAGAGTCCAGACCCGTTCTGGCTGCATGGCAGATGTGCTGACCGGGCGACCCCACTCGCGCCACACCCAGCTGCCTCCGGCCCAGCACACCCACACCTCGGTGCCTGCTGCAGGGGGCCGCCCCCGAGGCACCCATACGTCCCCGCTGTGAGGTTCTGGGGTGCTCCTATCCTCAGGGGGTTCTCCCCAGCTCGGCCCTGTGCCTCCACCCGGAGCACCGCCCCAGCTCTGGGCCCTCGGGGGTCTCCGGGGCACCCAGACTGGCTCTGTTTCCGGTGCTCCCCGAGTCCGCTCCACCCACACCACCTCTCCCGGAGGAGTTCTCGGTCTCCCACGTCCCCAGACCCCACCACCACGGAGACCGCCCTCGCGTGGACGCCCAAGGCCATTACCCGGGTTCGGGCTTTCGCTGGGCTCCTTAGCCCCGCCCTTGGGAGAGCGTGACCCCGCCCCAGGCACTGGAGCCCCGCCCTCAACAGAACCCAACCCCTTTTTCAGAACTGCAGCCACTGGCTGAAGCCCCGCTTCCAGTGTCCGAGCTCCGTTCCCTTTGCTCTCCAAACCCGAGGCTCCACCTTCCAATTGTTCCGGCTCCTCCTCCAAAACCCAGGCTCCGCCCCGCCCCAAATCTAGCCCCACCCCCGGCCGCGTAGCTCCGCCTCCCTCTGGAACCAGCTTGGAGGTTCCTCTCGACTCGGCTCCACGCCCCGCCCCGCACCCTGGGGCTCCGCCCCGAACAGTGTGAGGTCCCTCCCCCTGCGGCATCCCCAGGCAGCTCCGACCCCAGTCCCCAATTTCCTTGTAGCCTATCCCTGGTTGACACTCGGGGCCCCGGCCCGCTCCTGCCCGGCCTGCTCCAGCCTGCCCCTCTTGCGCCCCACTCCCCCTGCCCGGGCTGTGGCCCCCGCTCACCTCCTCGCCGCGCCCCCGGAGTCAACCCAGTCGGGCTGCCGCCTCTGCGCAGGCGCAATGTCGTCGCTACCAGGCGGGGCCACGCCGCGCTTCCTCATTGGACTGTGAGAACCCCGCCACCACCTACCGGTAGGGGCGGTTTCTTCCTTAGCCCCGCCTCTCGCGCCACCGCGTGATATTCACGTCATTTCCGGTGGGGCGGCCCTTAAGAGTAGGGGAAAGTGACTTCCGAAAGGGCGGAAGGCACTTCCGGGCGAGGTGAGCCTGGGTGACATCAGGCGTTACTCTCTGATGGTCTGTCTGCAAGGGCCTATCACCCGTCGCCCCTCCAGCCTTCTCAGCGTCCCTGTCGCCCCTGCGCCTCTTTGTAACCACAGCTTCCAGTCGGGGACGCTGCAGAAAAGGATTCTGCAGCTGCCACTTGTCTGGCTCTATGACCTTGAGCAGTTCCTTCCCTGCTAAAACTTGGCGTCTCTACAACGTGGGCTGGGGACCACTCAGCCTACAGGGACCCTGGAGGACTCGGACCCCACCCCCACCCCCCTGCACGGCTAATGTTCTGTCCTCTTTCCCACCTTCAGCGCCCTGACTGACTGCTTCCAGCCTCACTCTGACCAGCCCACTGCCTCAGCCCATCCCCCCACCAGGGCCCACTTTCTGCCTTCTAGTCCATTGCTCAGAGACCCTCTAGATAGAGCAGCGGTTCTCAACCTTCCGAAAGCCGCGACGCTTTCGTACAGTTCTTAATGCTGTGGTGACCCTCCAGCCATAAAATTATCTTTCTTGCTACTTCATAACCGTAGTTTTGCTGTTAAGAATCGGGCGACCCCTCCAGAGGGGTCATGACCCACAGATTGAGAACCCCTGCCCTAGAGTCAAGGGTTTCTGAGCTGTTAAACTGTGGGGAGCAAAAAGCTTCATCTTACTCCTGCAGCACATCTGAGGAGTGGCTTCCATCCGCTGGCTTTGGGGTCAATAGCCCAGTAATGCATGCTGGCATCGACCAAACCAAACACTCCATTACGCAAATTCTCACTCCAAGCAACACCATAGGACACAGTAGAACTGTCCCTGTGAGTTTTCAAGACTGTAACTCTATGGGAGTAAAAAACTTTGTCTTTCTAGAGCAGAGTGGCTGGTTGGTTGGCACTGCTAACCCATCACTACAGGCACTGCCATCGAGTCAATGCTGACTTGGGTTTCCAAGATTGTAACCGTTTACGAGGGAGGGTGGAAAGCCTAGTCTTTCTCCCTCTGAGCTGCTGGTGGTTTCAAACTGCGGACCACGCAGACTGCCAGACTGCCGCCTAATGCATAACCACTATGCCACCAGGGCTCCTCATACCAGCATCCATAGTACCCAGTAAATATTTGTCAGAGTCAAATCATGAATCTGCATTTGGTTGGAGGGTTAGGGAAACAGCCAACTGGAGGGCAGGTGCCCAAGTTGCTTCTTCTCTTTCGAGTCTATTTCCTCCGTTGGAAAAGGCAGGTCACAGCAGGGCTGACCTCAGAATTGAAGAGGAAGAGGGCCTGCAGGAGAAACGTGAGTGGTGTCCGGTGGGACTGAGTGGTCTGGGAAGGGCGGGCCCATTAGGATTCCTCACCCTCATTGTCTCAGGTGAGCTGTGATCTGAGTAGTTTCAGGCTTGGGAAATACTTGAATAGTGACCAGTCTCCAGGCATTGCCTTCTCCTGTCCAACCCCACTCCTTCTTGTGACCCATCAAGATTACTACCATGCTCCCCAATCGGATACCCTGCAGAAAGGCTTTGCTTAGAGTGGCAGCTTTGGAGGAACCATAGAGGTTGCAGGGACGGTGACCAGAGCATGACCTTGGACTTAAATCAGACCAGGCTCAGGAAAGCCCGACCAGCAGTCGATGAGGAGAGCTCTTGAAGTGCAAGGGGAATAAAGACAGAACCAAATGTGGGTCATGGGAGTGGGAACCTATCTCCCATGCCAAGTGTACCGCAGGCTCTTGGTGCTTCCCTTTCAGGGCAGGGAGGGTGAGGTAGAGCTAGGGCAGGGACATGATGACTTGAGGTAAGCTTCAGGAAGCAAAACAGAACTATAGGGAGTCTCAGACTTAGGACACAGCGTGAGTTATGACACACTCTTTATACACAAGACTATCTTTGTCTTGCACACCTTATCATGAGTAATGGGCACTAACGTACAGCTTGCCGGGCGCTAGCATTCTCGGTCGTTCAAAGGATGGATTACTAAAGATCTGACAATAAAAGGCCAAAAAAGCAATACCAAAAAATTATCTGACTTCTGTCAGAACTGACTTCCAACCCACTCAACAGAACAAAGCGGTCCTGAGTGCTACCTGGCGGGGAAGGGGGGTGGGGGGTTTCTCTAGAGTGTGCAAGCAGACTAAATGTCTCTGGAGCCCATGGGCCCTAAGCACTGCAAGCAGCCATTCCTCCCACGTGCACATGGGACTGAGGCTCAGATAAAGGGGCTACTGACCACTCCGCAGGTCAGTAGCCATCTCCTTTCAGAAAGGAACCCTCGTGGTGACTAGCAGTGGAGGTGGTGTAGGAGGAGGCAGAGGGACGAAGGCCCCCCTGCACTTTAAGTAGCAGCAGTGTGAGGCCTGGGTGATGCTGGCTCTGCTTGGAAACAGCTGTGGAGTCTGGGACCTCGCCTGCAAATGAAGAGGACAGCTCTGGGCCCCAGAGTCAGTGTGACGCAGACATTCATGCCCAACCGGTCAGCCTGGACAGCGACACACAGTGACACAGGCAAGGGCGGCTCCTTCTGTTTCTTTTATCGGGGGCGGGGGGTGGGGTGGGGGCACAGTTGTCATACCAAAGCCCAAACCCCATTCTCTGCAGGGAATCGGGGTCTCATCAGCGGGACAAGAAGGAGCTGGTGATAAGAAGCTCACTTGTACATGGTGGTCAAAAACTGGAAAGGACCCAGTTCATCCCCAAACTAGCATATGACCCCTCTCGATGCCGCCAAATCTCTGTGTCCAACTATGCCCACCCAGTTGGGTGATGGCCCCGGGGAGACAGGGACCAGCAGGAGAGCCCCGGTTGAGAGGCCCAGGTCCAGGAGCAGCGTCCTCCCCGACTGAGGTCTCAAGGGCTGGGCTGCCCTCCCCAGGCTGTGTGGAGCCTGTCGCTTGTGAGGCAAGTGGCCAAGCTAAGTCTGAACAGTGACGTGTCACCTCCGCAGCTTCCGGCACCTGAAGAGAGAAGACGGGGCTGCTGTTCAGGCCGCCGGAGCGCAGCCCCCAACTCCTCTTGACTCACCCCTCTCTACATCTGTGAACCCCACTTTTGCCTAACACGCCTTACATGGCCCAGCTAACCTGGCCCCAACAGCCCCTCAGACTGAATCCCATCACAATGCCCTGGCGTCTCTGGGTCCATTCCTCACTGCCAATGAGTCCATTCTGACTCCTGGCACCCCTCTAGGGTAGAGTAGCATCAGGAAGGTTTGCAAGGCTGAAAATCTTTATGGGAGCAGACAAGCCCCATCTTTCTCCTGCAGAGTGGCTGGTGGGTTCAAACGACCAACCCTGGGGTTAGCAATCCAACCCATAACCCACCAGCAAGAGAGACAAATGTCCACCACAGACATTCTGGGAAGCCCGGAGCCTTGGCATGTTGGGAAGCTGGGTCCTTTACCTCTCTCTCCTCTACTCGTGTGTTATCTCTTCCAGAAGATCTATGATTTCTCAGAGACAGGGCCCAGGGTCAGACGGCCCTCCCAATGGCTCTCCCATCCACTGGCACCATCCCTGCTCACGCCTGACTCCCGCCTTGTGTACACCAAGCCCTTGCCAGCAGACACTCTGTAAATAGTTTCTCAACACATCCATCAAGCTGGAAGCTCCCTGGCTCTCCTCCTACTGGCTGGACTTGCTCCAGGACAGGGCCTAAGGCTTTCCTGGGACCCAGCCCCAAGCCCCCCCGCACCTGCAGCTGTTTGGGTTGAGCTCTAAGCCCCGCCCTTGGCAACGGAGGAAGCTGCGGCGTCGGCAGCGGCAGCGGCAGGTCCGGGGGTCAGGGCGCTGGCGGCGCTGGGCGCAGCGTGGGCAGAGGGGCCTGGGGCTGGAGTGGGATGGGTGATGTCAGCTGGGGAGGGTGCTCTGGGGACGGAGTCCCAGCCCGGCACAGAGCGGGGCTGGGGGCGGTGGTGGGGAGTGGGAGCCCTAGGAGGAGAAGCGACATGTCTGGGGCCGGAAGCAAGAAGCTTCCCAGGAGCACGGGGAGGGACTCTCAGAGGAACAGGTGGAAAGGGGTGAAGGGGAACAGGTGGGAGGAGAAATGGGAAAGGACGAGAGGGCCACAGACCCCCCTCCCCCTCCCCTCACATCCTGGACTCCTCGCCCACCTCAGCAGGAGCCCAAGAGGCTCACCTGTCTGGCTTCCCCGAACTCTCTCTTTTTTTTGGTCTGAAAGGTAAGAGAGTCAGACAGACAGAGACAAAGAGAGGGAGCATCAGGAAGTCCAAATGTCCCACGCTCCTGCCCCATGGCCCAGGCTGACCACCACCCCGCCCCCTAAGCCCAGAACCTGTCCCCACCACCACACCACGGGCCGCTGCCCCCAAGCCTGGTGTCTGCGAGTCTAACTGGCACCTGCATTCACACCGGCTGTGTTCTTCCAGCGACATCTCCCCCAGCTGACTGCTAGGGTACCGGATCATGAGGATCTGCGCCCCGGAGGAAGACAGGGAGACAGTGAGCCTCACAGCCAAAAGGAGTGCTCCAAGGGATGGAGAGGGAACAGCCTGCCCACAAGCCAGCCCCCTGGCATCCAGCTCTCCCTGTGGACCAGGCGGCTCCACCTGTAGGGGTACCTGCATTCGGACTTGGTGCTGGCCCGTGGGGACACACTCCAGCCCATCGTCTGGACAACAGCCGCCACAGCGATGCACTGTCACGCAGCTGGGCACCAGTTGCTTGGCCACGGTGCCCATGAATTCCGTGGTCAGGGGCACTACCACCTCCCGAGGCTGGCAGGTGGCTCGGGAATAGACGTCGATCCAAGACACCACTGGGGACAAAACGACAACGGGAAAGGTCTCATTCCCCAGGGGGTTGCGGGGGTTGGGGGGCAGGGGGCGAGGACTGAAGCTGTTCCCTAGTCCCCTGCCTTCTCTCCAAATCCCGGGGTACCCTCCACTTGCCCTCCCATGCAGCACCCCTCTGCCCAGTCTTTCCAGGGCCCGGGGTCCCTTGGCCTCCACTCCCTCCGTTCTATGTGGAGCAGGCAGAGCCCGATTCTGCCTCTTCTGAGGCAGTTGTGGCAACAGAAGAGAAAAGGGCTGGAATGCAGAGCGAACCGTGGACTGGCTCTTGCAAAGGGACCCTCATGACTACCTTTATTCTGGTGGTCGGGCACATCAGGCTGGAGGGCCGGGGCCTGGGGAAGACAAGAGACCTGAGCGGGGGACACCCTTGCATCCAGGAGTGCTCTAGGAAAGGCGGCCCTGCTGTCCCAGGGCTGTCCTCGCCTCCAAAGGGCTCTGCCTGCGCTCTGGCATCTTCCCACACTGCTCTGTTCCTGGGGCCATGGCTCCAGCTTTACCTGTCCTCTCCTGGCCACCTGGGACCTGCCCTGGCCCACGACCCGCCTGGCGCACTCTGCGGGCGACGTCGAATCTCCAAGCCTCGGGGGACGGCCTTGCGCTGGAGGCCGCAGGTCAGGAGCAGGCACAGTGGGCGCCGAACCAGGTCCAGCGGGCACCGGGCACTGGGGTGGCTCCGCCCCCAGCTGCGCCCAGGGGACCGGGTGGGATGGGGTGGGGCGGGG